ATAAAACCCTAAGTGCTAACCTAGTTTATCAAGTGATCATGAGATAGGTAGCACACTCCAAGTTGTGAAGCAAACAAAGATCATAGCATGATGAAGATGATGCCATGGTAATGATCAAGTGCTCGGACTTGAAAAGAAGAAAGAGAAAAACAAAAAACTCAAGGCAAAGGTATAAACCATAGGAGCTATTTTGTTTTGGTGATCAAAACACTTAGAGAGTATGATCATATTTAGGGTTAATAGCCATACTATTAAGAGGGGTGAAACTCGTATCAGAATGCGGTTATCAAAGTGCCACTAGATGCTTTAATTCATTGCATATGCATTTAGGATCTAGTGGAGTGCTAACTCCCTTGAAAATATTTGTGAAAATATGCTAACACATGTGCACAAGGTGATACACTTGGTGGTTAGCACATTTGAGCAAGGGTGGAGAAGTTAGAAGTAAAAACGAGTTAGTGTCGCTGGTTATATAGTGATCGGACGCTGGACCTCTGAGGGACCGGCGCGTCCGGTCATGTGTAACAGTGAGATGCTGGCGTCGGTCTATTGACCGGACGCTGGGTCGCTCGGCGACCGGACGCTGAAGAGCTGCGTCCGATCAAGTGGTCGGTCTGCACAGTGCTTAGGGTTATGCACCGGACGCTTGTCTGTGTCCGGTCAAGTATGACCGGACGCGTCTGGTCGATAAAAATCGGTTTTGGACCCTTACTGGAAACGACCGGACACTGAGGGTCCAGCGTCCGGTCAACTGATCGGAGCGTCCGTTTGGTCAAGGCAGATGACCATTGGAGTCAGACACGTGGCTGACTATGAGCGACCGGACGCTAGGGGCTCAGCGTCCGTTCAGCCCGCGTTATGCTCAGTGAAGGGGTATAACGGCTATATTTCGTGGGGGCTTCTATTTAAGCCCCATGGCTGGCTATAGCTCACATCTTTGGCCATTTCCATTGACATAGCAACCTTGTGAGCTTAACCAAAGCCCTCTCACTCATCTCCATCATTGATTCATCATCATAGTGAGATTGGGAGTGAATCCAAGTGCATTGCTTGAGTGATTGCATCTAGAGGCACTTGGTGTTCGTGTTTCGCTGCGGGTTTCGCTTGTTACTCTTGGTGGTTGCCGCCACCTAGACGGCTTGGAGCAGCGAGGATCGTTGAGCGGAGGGCGGTGATTGTCTCCGGCTCTGATCATGGTGATTGTGAGGGGTTCTTGACCTTTCCCCGGTGGAGAGCCAAAAGGTACTCTAGTGGATTATTCTTGGCTTGTGTGATCCTCATCTTGTGTTGGTTGTGCGGCACCCTATCGAGGGTTTGGCGTGTGAAGCCAATTAGCGCGTGAACCTCCAAGTGAGTGAATCGCCACAACGAGGACTAGCTTGCCGGCAAGCAAGTGAACCTCGGTAAAAAATCATTGTGTTCATCCTTTGATTCCGAGGTGATTGGTCTTCATTGTTATCCACACTTGTGATTGATTGGTTCATACATCTACACGGCGGTATAACCTTCTTGCCCACTCTTTATATTACCGCAAACTAGTTGTCAAGCTCTTTAGTGTAACTAGTTGTGAGAGCTTGTTAGTTTAGTTAGTGTGGCTCTTTAGTTAGCATTTGAGAGCACACTACCTTAGTGTAGTGATATAGCTATTGTGTGGATATACTCCATCTAAACTAGAATTGTGGTAGGTGGCTTGCATTTTGAGTAGGCTAGCGTAACTCTTGCTCCGCCTCATAATTGTCTAACCATTTTGTTGAGTGTTGTTGTAGAAATTTTATTAGGCTATTCACCCCCCTCTAGCCATTAGGACCTTTCAACCCCTTAGAACTGCTTTCCGTGAGGGCACCGAATAGGGCGGTGCGGTCACCGGACAGGAGGTGACGGTGCCCCAACGGTCGAATTCCAATGGTCGACCAACGGCTAGTTGGTCACCAGACAGGGGCGACGGTGGCACCGGACAGGAGGTGGCGGTGCCACCCTGGCCGAGCCCCCAAAACACCCCTCTCTGGATAATTAGGGCGGTGCACCGCCACCCCATGGCGGTGACTAGGGCGGTGCCCTCTTGGCCCTAACTCCAGCAAGTTCCAGCCTCGGTAAAAAAGCGATGGTGGCATCGGACAGCCAGTGACGATGCACCGTCGTGCTAGGGGCGGTGCACACAGTCATGTCCGGTGACCACCCCAGCGCTGCTGCTCTCTGCCATGTCCAGCCTATCACTGGACAGGCCTTGGTGATGCACCGCCGTACCTAGGGCGATGACCACCCCGAACTAGCTGCTCTCGGCCTCGGCCAGTCGGTCACCGGACAAGCCAGGGTGGTGCACCGCCGCACCCATGGCGGGGACCACCCAAGGCAAAAACCTCTGTTAGTTGCGTTTTTTATTCTCGATTCGATCCACAAGCAATCTAACACTACCTTGCAAGCGATGCTAACTCTCAAAGTGTTTTCTTAAAAACATGTTAGAGCCAAGTTAGCATTTCTCAAAATATTTTCCATAAATATTTTTGCTTGCTCTCCGATGTGCACTAGGCCTAAATGCAATGCATGAAGTCCAACACCTATTGGCACTAGATGACCGAATTGTCTAGTTAAGAACCCCTCTTAATAGTACGGCCTTATATCCTAAATGTGATCGCACTTTTTATAGTGTCTTGATCACTAAAACAAAAATCCTTAATTATACCTTTGCCTTGATCTCCATATGATTTTGTTTTTCTCTTTCTTCTTTTTCAAGTTGAGCACTTGATCATCATCACATGTGGCCATCTCATCATTTTATGTGATCAACATCACCATTTGAGTGCCATCATGCTCCTTGGATTGCACCAACCTAGCTCATATCATCACTCATGACAAATGTTAGTGCTTAGGTTTTATCAATTATTCAAAACCAAACTAAGGCTTTCACCTGCTGCACTGGCGTAGCGCTCGGTGAGGGCCGTCGTCGCCCCGCCCTTGCGGCGTAAGGAGGAAGGGGTGCGGAGGAGGATTAGGGTTGCCGCCACCGTGCCGACGGCCGGGTACCGCCGAGGTCGCCTCGCGCTGTGTCCTCGGTCATGACGGGAGAGAGAGTTAGGGAGCAAAGAGGATTGAGAGGAGGGGGAGAGAAGTTTCCTGAAGCAGAAGCAGAAGCTGGCGTATATATTTGGTCGACCGGATTTGGACGAGAAGCGGTAAAAGCTGGCAAAATCGATGGAGAGCGACGAGGAGGTGCAAGAAGCTGATTCGGACGCAAGCGGCTACAAGCATTCTGGACCACACGATGGAAGATCGGACGACTGTGGCTATTCGGGGTGACGTGGCGGCTGATTCTACTCGAGGAGCTAACGCAATCTATAGGAGTAAAAAGTTTGGTTAAATTTAGAAAATATTGGTTAAGATAAAACTAAAAAGATATATATTTTGGAATAGAACCGTTTGACAAACTAATGTTTTGTTTTAATAACTAGGTAATGCCTGTACGTTGCAACGTGAAAATAAATAATGCCACAATCATTACCGATTGTTTGAAACTCTTAGTGACTGCTTTTGTTTCCATTTTGGAACCTAAATAAAGGAGTATTTAAGACAAAACATCATGCATATATGATTGAAAATAGTATTTTGCTCGTTTCTATACTTGTCTAGTCATATAGACATTATAGATAGAAATCATACTTCTAATAGATGTTTCTTCAAAATAACTTTTGTCCAAACACATATCATCTCTTGTATTATCTATGTACCACATTTCTTAATGTCTTGGTTCCTTTGTAGCAGTGGTGGATCCATGACTTTACCTAAGGGTATGCCGTATCAAATATTTTCACATGCATTTTCGGTAAAATCCATTTATACCAACCACTAAATGATTGTAAAATTTGCAACTCAATTCAATATATAAGGAAACAAAACATAGCAAGTATTCAATATGAAGATTTAAGATGTAAAGTTGTATGAACTACAATACAAATATAATGACATCTGATGTTGAGCAAATCACCAATCTCAAGGGCCTACTGCAGTCATTGTGGCATTGACGCATGACTAATGAGGGATCAGAGGTAAGAAATACGAATATATTGGAAAAAAGGGATAGATAACTTCATAAGTATGGCTACACGGCGGCTCCGCCTCTAGCCTCCGTGTGAGGCGCGACGTTGCCATGACCACTAAGGCACTAATCGATCGAGCGTGCTTGGCCTTCGGTGACGGCAATTCGTTGACCATCAACAATCTGCGCGATCAGACGCAACCTCGACGAGTCACGAAGTCTGCGACTCCATTCTCCAGTACTCGATAATTCAATTTTCAACTAGGAATACTCGGGTCGTGAGTCCCGCTCCTGCGTTGTGTTTGTTGTATACAGAGTTCTAGATGTCGGAGACCATGAGGTAAGCAAGTGAATTTTGCTCGTGCAGGACACGAAAATTGACTTGGTGAGTTACCATGCATGGCTCAACTCAATTGGCATATACAACATACTTTGTAGATCCGTCAATGTCAGTGTAGACATAATGTCTTGTCTAAAAAACATTTTCGCATGTCTTTTTAATTATAATCTTACATTATCTTTTTTTAGATAGCATCCTAATTAATGAACCTAGAAAGCATCTAGCTTCTGAGTTGAGAGTGCACCGAGGAGACCATTGTACAGCAAATCCTTAATCCTGGACTTGTAAAAAGTTCCAGAAATCCGCTTGTACGCAAGCAGTACCACTAGTGGTGGATCGTCAGTTCGTCACTTGGTTTCTTCCCGTTTGACCAGCCGACCAGTGGACCCATTTCACTCATTTGCCCCGGGGCAGCCTCGCCGACGCGGGTCCCACCCCTCCCCTCACGGCCGCACATCCCCGCGGTGACGGAGCCGTGATTGAGCCGTAACGGCTCCGTGGGTCGCGCCCGCCCGCCCCATTAACCCGCGCCACACCTGGGGGTAGGGTAACGTCGTCACCCTAACGCCGCTGCCGTGGCTGGGGGCGGAGCCCGCGGCGTAACCCTAACGCCGCCACGCGCGGCCATCCATGGCCTCCTGCGACGACGACTTCGGGCTCCTCGGTGACGACGCCCACCAGCCGGCAACTCCCCCGCCCGCACCCCCCACCGCCCAGCAACCCGCGCCGCCGCCGTCGCAGCAGGCCGCCCATCCCTTGAGCTTCACTGTCGCGCCTGCGGGGGCTGCCGCCGGCGCCGGCTCCTTCGCGCAGGTCCAGGAGGACAGCAACCACCACGCCGAGCGCGGCAAGCCGGCGCAACACGCCAAGCGGGGCAGGGAGCGCGCCGAGGAGTTCAGCAGCGATGGGGGCGAGTACTGTTCCTACATCAACAGCAGCGGCAGCGGCGGTGGGGGGAAGAAGGGCCGTGGCGGTGGAGGGATCTCGAGCGTGCACGACCTCTACCGTAAGGATCGGGAGGAGTGGACGGACGGCGCGATCAGCAGCCTCCTCGACGCCTACACGGACCGATTTGAGCAACTCAACCGGGGACACCTGCGGGGTCGGGACTGGGAGGACGTGGCCGCCGTCGTGACCGACGGGCAGGGCAAGACTACCGGGGGCAAGAGCGTGGAGCAATGTAAGAACAAGATCGACAACCTTAAGAAACGCTACAAGGTGGAGTGCCAGCGGCTCACCAGTTCCGGTGGAGGCGCCACCAGCCACTGGCCCTGGTTCAAAAAGCTGGAGCAGATCGTTGGTGACTCTGTGTCTCCTGCCTCCTCCAAGCCTCTTGCTGCTGCCGAGGATGTGAAACCGAGGCAGCAGCAGCAGCAGCACGGCAGCAAAAGGTGGTTCATTTTTACATCATTGCTTGATCAATTTGGAGATCTACTGGTCTTAGCTAATGTTTGTCACTGTAGGTATCCTCTTTCCAGCACTGGCCCTCCTACTGGGGTTGGTAGCTCTAGAACGAACCCTCTTTCAAATCCAAGATGGAAGAGGGTGCTTCTGAAGATTGGGGGCACTGCCTTACGTGGAGCGGCTCCTGAAAATGTTGATCCCAAGGTAGTTTATATTAGCTGATGGTGATAGATCTATTTTGATGCTTCCCTAATTGTTTTGTACTACAATTTTGTCACTTTGTCAGGTGATTATGCTGATCGCTAGAGAAGTTCAAGTGGCGTGCCATCAAGGTGTGGAGGTAAATAGAGTACATCCATTTCAGAGATGCATTTTTCTGATATCAGGGACACTTGTCAAGCACTCAAGTTAATATTACATTCAATCCTATCAGGTGGCAATCGTGGTAGGAGGGAGGAATATATTCTGCGGTGACAATTGGGTAGCTGCAACAGGCACGGATCGAGCCTCAACGTACCCAATTGGGTAATTTTCTGCCATCATTATTTCCCTTACTTTTGATCTATGTCTGCCTTCTGTTCCGCTCTACACTTTTTATCATATATAGCAAGAATCGGGAATAATGATGAGCATGCAACAAAAATATTTGGATGGGTCCTGGACTCCTATAGAAAGACTACTAGCAAATTGTCAGTTCTTCTAATGCTGACATCCATGGTTGTGCTGGTGAATGTTGATAGTATAGGACTCGGCCATTGTTGTATTCCAGTCACCTGGTTGGACCTGCTTATTGGTTAGAATGGATTAGAAGTTTCCTTGTGATTATGTTTTTGTGTATAATGCATTCCTGATCTGGCATTTATATTGTCAAGTACCACTTCAAGTTTATAATCTCACATAAGTCATATGCGAGGCAGAAGTTTATTCTTGTGTAGCACGTCATTGAATTTAGGAAACACAAGAGCTGGGATATTTAATTTTTTGCCACTTTTACATTTGGCAAGGGCTCAATTGCCAGCTTTGGGCGCGTCCCTACGCTTTCGTTTTTGCCACCGCACCGACCAAAACTTCACCGTTTTAGACATTTTGCACGCGTGGCTGGCCAAGTAACCCTTCCAGCATGGCAGGGGCATGCCAAAAGACCTCCCTGCCCCTGCCTTATCCCTTTAGGCACGCGTGGGCTCAACACCCGTTCCCCCGACACCACTCCCTCTCCAGCAGGCGCTGCCCCCATTCTTCATCAGCCCCGTCCCTTTGTTGGTGGCGGCGCGGCGCAACAACCTGCAGTAGCGGTGGCTGGCAAAAACAAGTCCGGCGCTTCTGATCCATACATGCTTGTGGATGTAAGTGAGCCCGCAGACCTTCCTCTCCTCTCCTCCCCTCTGTTGTAGCTAGGGTTTGCTGTGCTAGGTTTTTTTTGTCTAGGGTTGTTGAATTTCATTGCTTGTGCGTTATTGAGCTTCGTAGGTAGGCAATTTGTTCATCTTGCAGAATGAAGTCGTCTGGTTGCCCTCCTTGGTAAGTAGGATACTGTATAGATTGTATTCGCAGTGATACTGTGGAGTTGGATCTGTTCTAACTCCGAAATGTTTTGATTTTCGACCTGTGTCAGGATTGATCCCTGGCAATGCGTTTAGAATTGTTGTTGATTGTGCTAAGTTTACTGCAAATCTAGAGTATGGTCCACTTGAAATGGAAGATTCAAGGCATGAGGTCTGGTTTGACAGTAGGTCTGTTCAATCTTTCTAACTTTGTTGAGGACATGGCTAGCAACATTATCTGGGGCCCTAGTCAGCAGCTTATTGTGTGGGGAGTTGATAGAGATAGTGGGACCGAGTGGAAGGTAACCACAGACAAACAATTTGTTGAGATGGTGGGTGCTAGGCTTTGATGATAGTTGATGTATGTTTCCTGTGAGGTAATGGAAAGGGGTCAGTCAGGAGCAGCAGGCAATGATGGTAGTGCTCATGCAACATCTAGGGTTACTGGCCAATCTGCAGCAGTCATAAGCAGCTGGTGAAACAGCTATGTCTCCAGAAGAACAACCTTTCAGTGATCCAGAACCTGCTGTTGATTGGAGTACTCTAACCATTATACCCAATGATGATCAAGATGGTGAGGTTACTATGTTGGCAGATGAAGATGCAGTTTTTGAGGCATATGGGTTCAAAGCTGCAGAAGAGGCAGCAACAGCAGCTGGACCTGAAGAAGTTCCCATCCCAAGTATCCCAACAGAGATCCAGCAGGAGTGGAAGACACAGCTCTCCCTGTTGATGACAAAGCAACTGCAGAGCCTATTATTGACTGGGATAGGGACTATCCAGATATGGATGTGGGGGCTATTTATCCCTTAATGCCTGAGTTCAGACTGGCAGTTAGGCAGATGCAATTGTTGGGGAATTTGAGCTGCACACTGAGAAGTCAGACAAGACAAGGATGAAAGAGGTCAGAAGACATGTTGTCTACCTAGAATGGTCAAGAATGGAGGTGGCGCCTGGTCGCGTGCCTAAAGGGATAAGGCAGGGCAGGGAGGTCTTTTGGTGTGCCCCTGCCACGGTGGAAGGGTGACTTGGCCAGACATGCGTGCAAAATATCTAAAACGGTTGACTTTTCGTCAGTGCAGTGGCAAAAATGTAGGGACGCGCCCAAAGCTAACAATTGGAGCCCTTGCCAAATGTAAAAGTGGCAAAAAATTTAAATATCCCACAAGAGCTTGATTCAAGATCAAACTATAATTGGTGAAGTTCATTGTGTATTTGTGTGATTCTACAACATTGTCATCTCTGCCTGTGTGTGTGTGGTGGTGGCGGGGAGAGGGGGTGGATTTTTTTAGTTTATTCTATTTTATTTTGCCATGGTCAAGCTTCAAAAACTAAGCACTAGGGTCAACTGTGTTATATGTTGTTGGATTTGTGATAGAGTTTTGAATGTGTACAAGAAGCTATGTAGAGCTGTCAACTCAGGGCACCAACTTGTTGACTTGGATGACTAGCTGTGTAATAGCCAGGCCAGCATGCTAGGAAATGTATTCAATATTCACTAGTGAGGAGTACTGAAAACTGAAGTGCAACTGAACATGACCATTTGAACTTATGAATTGGTTAACTTGTGTAACTTAATAGTGGCCAATGGAGCTCATATGATTTAGTCTTATTATGTGCACCTTTGTGAACAGAAATCCTATGTCTGTTCAAATTGCATTACTTTGGATTTTAGATTTCCTTCTGTACTATTCAGGGAGTTCTGGACTTCTGGTAGACTGGTACTTAAGTGGCATGTGTATATACTTACACCTTTCTGTTTTAACTGTCAGAATGATGGCATCAGTGATGAATTCAGTACTTCTTCAAGCATCACTAGAAAAGATAGGTGTGGAGACACGAGTCCAAACCGCATTGATGATGCAAGAAGTTGCAGAACCTTACATTAGGCGTCGAGCCATACGCCATCTTGAAAAAGGGAGGGTGGTCATCTTTAGTGGGATTGGTGCAGGCACTGGGAATCCATTGTTCACAACAGATACAGCTGCTGCCTTAAGAGCTTCAGAGAGTATGCCATTGCATCCCGTCCCTAGCACCTTTCTTTTTCATTCTTCTGATTTGTCCAATGGACTTGCACATACATCTTCCCATTCCCGAATGATTTAATTTAGTTTCTATGAAAGCTTCAGATGATGCAGAGATGAAACTGACTAGATTTACTTGCTAACCAGTCAATGCAGATGTTGTCCTTAAAGGTATTGTTGGTGATGATGAATCTGGTTGCCCTCCTAGGAGCAACAGTAATGCTTCATTTGAGCACATCTCCTTTAGGGAGTTAGCAGCAAGAGGAATCACCAAAATGGACATGACAGCAGTAACATGTTGTGAGGAGAACAACATTCCTGGTTAGTACCTCTTATCAACTACTCCGTCAGATTCCGAATGTAGGTTGTAGGTCATTTTAGCCTCCTCAACTCTGTCCCGCTAAGAGTGACAGTTTAGCTGTGTCTTAAATCAAGTAATCTCAAGTTTGATGCATGACACCAAAATATGTATGCTGTGAAAATATATTTCATGCTGAATCTAATGGTACTCATTCAGTATCATAAATTTTGGTAGTTTTTTTTATATAAACTTGGTCAAACTTGAGATAGTTTGACCTAAAACTCACTATTTTGCGGGACAAAGGTATTAGGGCAGTCCCAACCATGAAACTACCATGTAGTTTCTATCCCTGCCACATAAGCAAGACACCATGTATAGAAACTACACCTCCATCCCATCATTTCCACATGTGGGTCCCAATTGAATCTTTGGCAATAGTTTTCTCCCCTCACCCTTGCCGTATCATCTCTCTTCATCCCCTTCTCTTTCCTCTCGTCTTGTCCCTCGGCAATCAGCAGGCATGGCCGGTAGCTCCTAGCAGGGGGGCATCCAAAGCACTGGACGGCAGTGATGCATACCGCAAGCGACCAAGCATGCCAGGCGCGTGTTGTGAGGCGGGTGCCACAGCCGACGACGCTCGCACGGCAGGCGTGGAGGAGCAGTTCTGCTCCCGGTCGTCCTTAGGGTACATGCTAGGATGTGTTGCGGCCAAGAAAGAGACGAAGAAACTAGAAACCTACACACCAGCTAAACAACGAAGAAGCAAGCAACTCAGTGGCATCATCATCAGCCTAGTTGGCCGGCGGCGTTCACGGGGATTTGCGGATGGCGAGGCTGGCTGCGTCTGCGCTTGCAGGGACGTGGTAGTAAGCAGGGGAGACAGGGCAGCGTTGTTGGGGATGCCGTTATCGGCGAGGCAGGCTGGACACGCGGCGGCTCTCGTTGAGACACAGCCGTCGGCGCGTGCTCAGACTCGGCTGATGGCGTCATGGTGATACGGGCTGACAACACACGCCAAAGAAATCACCCGGAAGCCCCAACAAGTAGAATCTTGTTTCTCGCATTGTTGGAGCACACGCTGAAATCGTTTCAATTTTCCTCCTCTTTTCCCCGCTCTTCAATAAATCTAGTGCCACGTCAGAATTTTTCTTACCTGGCATAGCATTTAATGTATGGAAACCATCTATAGTTTCAGGTTGGCTGCCCTTAGGTCGATTTAGAAGTTATATGCGTGTTTTACCCTTTTCTTCAATCCTTGCTGCTAATAAATGCTAGCACTCTCACAAATGAATGACTTGTCTTTGATGAGATGCATAATAAATGAAGGGTTCTAAGGTCATTTGATCTATTTTATTAATCTTTGTGCATCGAGTCGAAAACCCATGTTTGGAATTGGTGGGGGTCATCACAGCGATGTTTTGGTAACGCATTACAGTATTAGCAGTTTATACATAAGATGACATTTGTACATTTCTTGCAGTTGTCATCTTTAACATGTTAGAACCGGGTAACATCTCTAGAGCAATTTGTGGAGATCAAATAGGCACCTTAGTTGATCAGTCAGGAAGGATCACATAAAATTGGGAGGATTAATGGTAGCAGAGCTCCAGGACATGCCGATACTCTGGGGGACATCATGGATTCTTTGCTCTTGGATCTTTTCCGGATAGAAGAGAAGCATGTTCATCAGATGGGAAGCCTTCACTTTGATTTGCCTGGGATGCCTGTTGTGTATTATGCGTTGTGGTCGCAATTGCCCCACGTTGGAAAAAGTATTTAGCTTGTAATATCTATTTGTAATTTTGTCTGTAGATTAGTGGAAGAGCTTCTGTAAAGTGGTTCATGGGTACCCAGATCAGAATGTAGTGTTGTAAGTTGTAAGGCTATTATTTGAGTCGGTAGTGTTTGAGGTACCACCTTTTGCACCATTAATTTGCCTGTGGCTTTCCAGCAATCAATCTTTTTGTTTGTTCAATGATGATACAAGAATATCGTGGGTAAACATAGGGATGTTGATGCTTGTTTCACTCTTTACACCTGATGCTCTGTAATGCTGAGAGTGCAAATAGCTTTGATCTCAACGCAGAGCTCTTTATTGACGCCAGTGTTGGACTGCCAATCTGCTTTTCTGTTCAGCATGAAATTTAGAGTAACCAATGTGACTTGACTGTATCCTGCAGCAAATAACTTGCGGCAAAGTTTCATTGGTGCTAGGGCCATGTATCGATTCCTAAATAACTTACGGCAAAATTTCAAATTTCATTGGACTCTAGGGCCACGCATGCCGCACTTGCTTTTAAGAAGCCACAGCAAGATGCCTACTTGGGTTGGCCCGAGAATGACCAGGGTCGGGGCCCAACCCCATAGAACATCCCGGCCTGGATAGAGTCCCGTATCACGGAGAGAAATTTGACTTATGCTGATACTTATACTTATTTGTAAGAGAACAAAACTGTTTGTTCGTTAAAAAATATTGCTGAAGTAGTGCCGAAGAACAGGGCCAAAGATGTGTTCGTTTAAGTCTGGCCCAACATGGCCTTTGCCATAATCAGTTGCTATAGATGCCACCAGCTCTTTGACGAAGATGATCAGTTGCTAGCTTAAACTAGCTGGACAAAAGCAAAAGTAGAAAAAAAAGAATGGCTGCGGTAGCATGGTTATTTAAGATATTTCCTTGCCACTTGCAAGGTCCATACAAGGCCAGTCATTCATTTTCCTAGTCCGCGCCATTGCTTTCTAATCTGTTGGAGGTGTGGAATAGTTAATTTAAACAAGGTGACCACAGCAAATTTTTTGCCATTAAAACTGTTTTAAACTTTTAATTATATTAACATTTGATATTTTTTCCTGAATCTGGGGTGTAACATGAGCCACAGATGATTTGCACGATCGCACCTGCACCATTCAAGATGCTTACGCACATACACACACTGCTGTCTCATCTCCTCTAAAACATACACAATTACAAATGTCCTTGTAGCCATTTGTCTCACAAAGGCAATACTTGGAGATTCTTTTGGACCTGTTTCCTGGAAACCGATGCTTGGTCACTGTGGGTGGAAGAGTTTGGGGGTGCTAGCCGATTACATCGTCGGCCAGAACGCCATGTAGCTCAGCCAGGCCGGTGTTTTCCCTGATGCCGCCCTGATGACCCCGTTTGCTGTGCCGGAGGACGATGAAACATCCTGACCGCCGGCAGCTGAAGATGTTGGGCACAGGAAGAAGCTCCTGGAGCCCAGTTCCATAATCTTCTCCTTTGGGTTCAGACCTAAGCATAATTAAAAACAAAACAAAATGGTCAACGGGAGACTAAAAACATGTGCAAATTACACTAGAAAGCCCATCCAAATATCTAGCTGTCCTTTTTTTTTCTTACTAGCTAAACTAAGAGTAGTTGATAAATTCTAAAAGAAAAGTTGACTGAGTTTGAATTTGGTCCTTGGAAACTGTGCTACTACTTAGTGCGAACTGCAAAGTTGGATGAGATATGACTATCTATGAATTTAGGAATGAGTTTAGTTGTACTTACGGTTTGGTTGAATGGATGTGATAAGCTTTTTTTCTGTTTGGTTAGATGGATAAGGATGGATGGTCCGAGAATAGTTAACTAATTATATCTATCATTTAAAAATAATGACAACTAATTATATAGTAATAAATATGCACTACCACTAATCTTGTCATGATAATCACTAATTGAACAATACTATTATACTAATTGGTGCTTAAAACATATCCTAATCATTATATTAGCACATATCAAAGTTAATCTTATCATCATAATAACGAATTAATAATATAACAAACTAATAATCCAGTTACTACTGAATCAAACAACATTTGTCATCATACCCCATCCATCCAAACAAACGTACACTTTTTTTTTTTTTTTTTTTGAAAAGTCACACTTGCTATCTGAATAGACCGTGGCAACCACTTATTGAATACACTTGCTATATGAATAGACCGTGGCAACCACTTGTCATTCAATGATGGGGGGCCACAAGTCAACAAAATGAGGATAAGTGTTGACTTCAGGGCCCGCGCATGATGTATGTACTGAATGCATCGATCGAAGTTTGGATGAAATGATGTTTTCTATTGCAGCAGCTTTAGCGTAGTTGCGTTAATCTACTACTACTACTAGCTCTGATTTGATGTGAAAATGAAAACAGAGAGCGAGCGATAGTGCAGTTTAGCTTAGCCGTAGAAGAGCACTAAAACTGTGAAACGTAGCGTGATCCCGACGAGAATTATTGGAGATTCAGAGGAACGTACTCTCCAAGCTGAACTGGGAGTAGTGGAGGCCGAAGGCTGCCGGGTCGGTGGACGGCAGCAGCGGCCGGCGGCCTTCCTTGACGTAGAGCGCCACGGCGGCCGCCACCAGGTCCGCCACGGTCCACTCGGCGGACGCCATGACGTGCAGCGGCCACATGCTCTGCTGCACCGCCACGCTCACCAGAACCTTGCTGGGCGTCCTCCTCGGACTCCTTCCCGTGTCACTGTCACCGTCCGGGGGGCGGCGGGGACGGGGACCCGGAACGGAAGCTGGCTCCCCTGACGCCGGCGAGCAGGTCAGGCAGCGTCTTGGGCCTTTGCTTCTGCTGCGGCTGGTGGTGCCGCGGCTGCTCCGTCCCGCGCCCGTGGAACGACGCCGACCGCTGCTGAGCCGCCGGGGCCGCCGTCGCCGCCGTCCCCTGCCGCTGATGCCTGCCGCTGGAGCTGCTGCTCTTGTCGCCGTGCGGCTGCGCCAGAGGAGGCATCGCGCGTGCCGCGAGCGTCGGCTGCAGAGCGGGGCTCTAGGCGTCGAAGCGATTGATCCGCTGGTGACGGCCGGCGGACGAGTCACGTTCGGTGGCGGCAAGGCTCGCGGCGGCCGGACGACGAGGCGGTCAATGCGAAGCAGAGCATGGTGCGGGGAGAGGCAGAGGCTGCTGCTGCGGTCACCATGCAGGAGGAGAGTTCCGTGAGAATGCACCAGGACCAGAGAGGCTACAAGTAATAACCAGTCAGCGAGCGAGGAGCGACTCGTCCTGGGTAAATAAAAGCCGAGAAAGGGAAAGACGCGAGTATTTAAAGACGTCACTAGCCTCTTGACCAATAGCCATCGTCCCATCAATAATTGGATTAGTTTGGGTCCTACTAGTACACCATCAGTTTGGCTGTGCTGCATAATTACCCAAGAATCTCTGAGATACCGCGCAGAAATACTAGCCCACGCACGTCCTGGGAGCCACCACCAGTCGATCTACGCACGCTAGGACGATGGTCGCTGTCGAGTTGAACGTGGCCGGCGAGGGCAGCGGATGGCGACCAGTGAGCTCGCGATGATTTGCTAGTACTAATTCTACTAATTGTTTAGTGACTTGTCGTGCGCAAAGCTCCATCCATCTCTCGGTGAAATGTTTGTTCCGGGACAGCATGATTGTTTGGCCTAATTGGCGTGTGTCGAGGATTTTGGCATCGATCGCGGCGGAAAATAAAAGAACTGGTTGGGAAGGAAGATGCCCGCCCGGGAAGCGCCGGGACAGACAGCGAAGGGACAGGCGCGGTGGAGCTCGCTACTGGGGGAGGGCGGCGGGCCTGATTGCCTGATTGATGACGACGAGACGACACGCTCCCCTGCCCAGATAATGCACTCTGCACGTCCGCACCACTATCGATCTGCAGGTACCGGCGCTCGTGCTGCATCCGCGCGCGCACGTGCGGCGGCCGCTGGATGAGCATGAGCTTCGGATGGGTTTCCAGGAAATGAAATCGCTGCGCTATCAGACCACCACACCCAGAACGACGCGCGTACGCTCGGCGCTCGTGGAACACGCCAGCTGCCAGGAGTCTTTCTTACCTTACGTCCATGGTCACCGGCCACCGCCATAGGCAACTCACGGCTGGGCTAGCCACCGATCACTTGCTGCTATCCTACGCCTGCGGTGCTCGATCGGTCACCGGTGCGTAGCTAGGCTAGGTTACTCCTGAGAAAGCAAGGTGAGGCGCCGCCCAATGCATATCATCCAATTGCTCATCACGTACGCGACCCTGCAGCTCCTGCTTCTCGCCGTACGTCGGCAAGCACCTATGTTTTCTCCAGAAGCTAGCGATAGCGCTGCACGCCTGCACCTAATTCAATTAGGATGCCCATCCAGTGAAGGTGACGGTGACGGTGACGGCGTCAAGGTTGATTGTTGAAGCCGGCCTCCAACGATCAACGTGGCGGCCTTCCTGTTTTTCTCGCCGATGCTTTACGCAAATCGCACCTGCAAACAATGACTCTGTATACGATCTGTGGAAATCAGCGGGGGCTTGATTTGGTAGATTGGAAGAGCATAGATGTACTGCGAGAAATTCCAACTAATCTCGATACACTTCATAGGCTAGCTTACATGCTCTGACATAAATAAAGGCTAAAAATAATCCAGAACTGAAGCTATTTGTGGCATAAGAACTACTCCATCCGTTCTAAATTATAAGATATTTTAACTTTTCTAGATATATATTTTTGCCATACATTTCTATACACACTATGTCTAGATATATAAAAAATAATGAAAATTACTATATTTCTGTCGACAAAAAATGTTTGATTCATATCTGTCAGATTCTGGGCCATTCATTTTGTTTGAAGATTCCTGCTGTCCTCTAGGCGGATTGTCTAGCTATTAGCTGACAACTTTGTGTAAAAAAGATGACTTTGTATATAAACTTTGTACTGCAAGGTTCAAACTTTACATTTAGGATTTATAAACTTTCGTTCAAAACTTTGAACTATTACATTATATACTTTACACTGCTAGATTCAAAGGTTTACACTCAAGATTTATAATCTTTCAACTATGACATTACAAATTTTATAATTCTAGGTACACAGCTTTGAACTATGACATTATAAATTTTGTACTGCTAAGTTCAAAACTTTACACTCTAGAATCACAAACTTTTAACTATGATATTACAAACTTTATACTGCTATGTTAAAAAATTTGAACTATAACATTATAAACTTTGTACTGCAAGGTTCAAAACTGAAACGAGCAGGTTTCCAAACCCGTTAGCTGTCGGTCTAAAATTCAACGGATATAAACCCAACAAAACTGTCACTAGATTTATATGTGTATTATCTATCAGATTTTCTTTTGGTGAGCTGTCTTATTTTTTATTGGCAAAAAATCTGACAGATTTTATCAAAAGAAATCTGTCACCAGATTTGTAGACAGACCCAAAAATAATATATTTACAAAAGACAAAATATCTTATATTTTAGAGGTTGTACTACATGCTTTACTTTTTTTTCCTTTTGAGGAGTATAATGGGTCCGATTAGTTGCTTACACAACCCCTTATCTATGCCCTGACACTGCATTAAATCATATTTGGTTAACTGCACTAACCCATATATAGGCTAGCACTCTCCTCTAAGCAATGTAAAAAATTGTGTAAACATTCTCACCTCTGAGGAGGCCGCACGAATGTATTAATATAGTCAAGAAAATCCCTTGACACGTGGCATTACAAAAGGCAGGATACAATCTGTCCATACTTACAATGTCCATACTTATACAAGACTAACTTACAATGTCCATACTTGTACAAAACTACTATCTATAGCTAGGTATACGGAGTAGTGTCACTCAATCACAAATCATAACTTACAATGTCCATACTTGTACAAGACTACTATCTATAGCTAGGTATAGTGTCATTCAATCACAAATCATATGACGCCATGATACATTGTAGGAACTTAACAAGCAAGTCTAGCTTATATCCCATAAGTCAACCAAATGTTGCATATCCAACTATCGAACCTATGTCCTCCACCTATTCTGCAGCCCAAGGACCAGTCTTGCATTCGCTTTGCAGACAACCACCGATAGGGTCACCGTTCCACCGTATCCCCTCTAGGTTCCATCCATTTGCACTGCCTCTCTAGGGTTACAACCCCTCTCGTCGCCGCCTTCCTCATAAGCAGATTTGGAGATCCCGTCATCTCCTCTCTCGCCTTTGACTGTGAGTTCGCAGCGCTGGTCATCGAAGACTCAGGTGGTGTGGTTTCTTGGTGACCATTAAGGATGGAGCCCTTCCCTGATATTTCTGGCGGCGTCATGCGCAAGATCTTCCTCTCCTCTGTTTTCCTCGTTACCACTTTCCATGCTATCGAGATCTCATACCACTACAACAAACACGTTCTCTAAGTCAGCAACTTAACAAGGGAGATTCTGGCATCACCTAACGTCTGACACAACATGGTTATAGGACTTCGCAAGATGGATCGCAACAGCTGCAACTCACACCACTCCCTAGGGCCTACGACCATGTGTAACCTCATTCTCCCATCTATATAAGGCGCTCTCTAGAGACTACTCTAGACAGAGTATGCTCCAGACTAACTCTATATTCGAACTCTCTCTTTCACCGTGTCAGTGACCACCACTATAAAGTTGTCGGCCCCTCATTTTGAGAGTCTTAAGTGCATCCATACTTGTGCCACGATCACGTACAAGTACGCACAAATCATAAGAATAGTATATAGATATATAATAAAAGGTTCTGAGCTTTATTGATATCTAAAAATCGAGTCTTACGATAGTGGCCCAAAGGGGCATGGTCTTAGGCTTTACATATCTAGCGAAATACTACGGCTGTGAAACGGCATTATTCCTGGCAGTCTCTAGAGCAGTATTATTATACAGCGAATTGGTGCCCTATTTCACAGGCAACTTGAGCGCGGTCGAAACCCTAACCTCGATGTCATACTCCTACGAACGTATTTCCTTGCGTGATATTCTGCTGCCTACACCGGCCTGCTAGTAGAAATTTTACTTTTATCTAACGGGTTGTGAGATCAAGCCTACCTATATAGGCATGTGGCTGTACGTAATATCTCACTAGATGAGAGGGACTACGAACCGATCCTTATGTGACCGAGGTGAGTATCTCCCATAGGAATCCATTCCAGGCATCCCTGTTATGGTAAACTACCTTCATAGATTATCACCACTCGCCCCCTGTCAGGGTTTAGTTTCAGGTTTACCAATTTTAAGTTTCATTATTATCCCTAAGTTCATTCATATCGTGAAGCTCATAAATTAACAAGATAACCATTTATCTTAATTCAACAATAATCATTTCACAATAACTGATTCTAGGGTAATAATCCAATAATCATGTTTTAAATATTTTAGTGAATTAAAGCAAGATGGTAGAGAGGGGAGCTAGGACTTGGTTGCGTTGTTTTCACCTTCAGTTATGTCTACGAAATCTGGGTCCTCGTTCTCCTAACGATCACCGTAGTCTGCCGGGCATAGCGATGTATAAGACTACCGCTAAAACACAAATAATGGCAAAAGTAAACATAGAACAATATGGTGGTGCAAATGATAGAGCTAGATTTTAGATGAATTTTAGAGGTGGTTTCATATAAAAAGGAGTGATGGTTCAAAAGTTATATATTTTAGAAGTTTATTTATAGATGGAAATCTAAGTGAAATTTTATGATTACATTTTTGTACATAAAATATGGGTGAAAAGTATATGATTAAATTCCCTATGTCATCTAGTTTATTTACAAATTTTCTGAGAATTTTTCTAAGCCAGAAAATAGGGGTTTAACACTCTGTGTACACTACCCGGTGTACATAGCAATTTCCGTTGTGCACCCAACGCTGTGGTGTGTGTGTGTGTGCGTGTGTGTGACAGGTGGGCCATCCTGCCACTTCTGCGGGGGACAGTGGCAGTGGCGTTAAGGCCGTGGCCCACGCGATAGAGAG